ACGTGTAAAGGAGGTGTGTCATTTTAAAAAAATGTGTTAGTATAATTTCAGTCGAAAACCGAGATACGAATGAACATGATAAATTTTCAAATGAAATTTTCTCGAAAACGAAGTGTCAAGCAAAAATTGAGCATTTACTGCACGGTTTTTGTACATTTTCACGCGTCGAATGTCTTTCCCATCGATTCTACCAACCGTACACGTAACTGTATGTTGGTTGAACGCAGTACAATCAACAAACGTCGAAATTGGATTTTCTCGAAAACGAATCTTCGAGTGAGAAAAATTTGATTCATGCTATCGATACATTTTTTTTACGCAAAACCGTCGATGTTTCTGTTGTACCGTAATTTCTGATGGATTCTGAGCGAATGCCGAAATGGAATTTCAAAATAAAATCGATAAATACTTCGTCAACGTTAACATCGAGTTGAGAACGAATAAATTTACTAATCAAAGTTTGGAAGGGGCTCGCAGGGGAAGGAGTATTTAATTACCCCATTTCCCGAAAATCCTGTGAATACGAGAAATCATTTAAATACATGCAGCTAATGACAGACGATCAAGATTACAAATATACGAGATTCACACATATGTCGCTGCATTGTTCCTCGCGTCTAACATTCCTCTGATCTCACAATCGTAGTTAAGTGGAATTCCATGGAATTCAACGTTCTTCAAATTGATTGATCAAATTTATTATTCTTGCATAAATAATTGTTACTGATGAACACACTGTAGTGCTATGTTGTGTGTTGAGGCAATTTTTCAGCCAGAATTGAAACCTGAAAGCGTTTAAAGAGTAAAGGATACCAAAACAATTAACAGGAATCTATTGTTTTTTCTAAATTCCAATACCTAATTACTAAATTAACACTGTTTAAATATATCGCTGGAAATAAAAGCAAACGTATTTCCGAACTTACTATGTGTGTATTATCAAACTTATCTTCACTGCTTTAAATTTTGCAATTTGATTGCATTTTGTAATCATTAAAATTAGTATGAATACAAAATCATAAGACTATCGATGATGCTGCTAAAAGATAAAAGAGAAGTTACTATTGTTGCATATTAAATGGCACTGTCACTACTATTTTGTACATCAAGTTTATAACCGAGTAGTCAAAGATTGCAATCAAGTATTGTAATCAGGGATTGTTCAAGGATTGTATAAAATTAATTAAAATACAAAACAGCTATGGTAAATAGCATTCAACTTGGGGTCGATTAACATTTATGATTCGTTAATTTCAATGTATCTTATTATGGAAGATTCTACTTTTAAAGAACAAATTATTGCACAGATCAATAAAAACTACATTTCATGAATTGGCTGAAATTTTATATATTACTTGTATAAATACACTATACTTCTCTGAATATTAAAACGTATTACAATGCACTGAAATAAGAAAAACCTTTAATAAACACTCTAATAGACCTTCTCATAATACAAACTGTCGCCCTTTAATTGCCACTCTACTTGCTGCGTTAAATTAAGGTGTCGATCAAAGATCGTCTCTCAATTATGAAAAATTACAAAATAATAAAATAAGATAAAAATAGCTTATAGTATTTTTGTATTTATGAAATAAATAATTGTTTAATATAATCGAGTTATCAAAACTTTCACTATTTAGTTTACATGACAAGAAACCCGTCAGAACATTTAAATATCAAGGAAAATATTTTCTCAAGTATCATTATTTCATAATCGAACAGCCGACTTCTGCAGAAGAAATGAATGATAATAAACAACACACCTTAATATCGTGTGGATAAACTACAGGTATCACGTCTCCAATAGACAGAGTTTGTCTCGAAAATTAGCGTCTTTTTGCATCCCATTGCGACTGCGACTTCATTGTTCTATTATATTTGACTTTAGAAAATATTTTTAGTTTTATATTCCAGTATTCAACCAAAATTTATATTGCTATTACTAGATTGTAGACCTTTGTGCAAAATAAAAGTGTTCTGCATTAATTGCAAGAAACAAAAATCTCTCAAACAAAAATAGTAATTTTAATCATTTGAAAATAATATAACAGTATTCTTAAGTTATTCCGACACATATGATCAATAATCAATAATAACGAAATGTGATTCGAGTTTCATGTTTTTCAATTATAATCACACTATAAACACTATAAATTCCATAATACTGAACTGACCTTGAAATATTTCTAGGATTAGGAGATAACAGTATCATGAAAATATTTCATAAATGTATGAAATTCCGGCGCATAATCGTGGAGATCGTAAAGAGCTGCATGGTCACGTTCATCCACAAACTGGCCAAAGTACTCAATGTATTAATACTCACCCTTCACAGACCCGTCAATACCTGTTACCTGTCGCCAACATCCTCCGCGATGGTGACCCATAAATTAATGATCACGAAACTCGGGCTACTATGAGTATTCTATAGAGAGTACAACGTGCCCATCTGAAAATTCCCCGGATATACACACTATGGAGCATTGTTAAACATCGTTCACAAAATTTCACCGCTGAAACATTCATCATCCTTGCATGGACGCAACTAAACTTCGAGTTTCCTATTGAATTATTTATTTGTTCAAATAAATCCATATTATTAGCATACTGACGTAAAAAATATATTTTAAAATAATGAAAGGATGCATGTGTTATATCAAGAAAAGTAAATTCCAGTGACAGATCCCTCTGATACTGAAAATGTGTAACAAGTTTTATCAATGAATAAGAAATATTTAATTACAGTGTTCGCCAGCCGAGGTTGTTAATACTAAATTAAATCAGAAATATCTCCTGGGATTCCGTTAAGTCCATCCAATATTTGTTCACATACTTGACTCCTCGACCTCAATCTAAGTTCCATATTTGTAGAGAAATTGAAGTCGGTAATTGGGTACTGCTTAAATCGGTGGCGGAAGATGATTTCGCAATCAGTAAATTCGATATTGAGTCAACTTCCGAAGAGATGAACCAAATGCAATAATCAAATAAAATATCGCACTGCGGAGTATTTGACCTCAGAAGTTCGTCACAATAACTTTATTCGTTTTTATGGGAACAAAAGTATTTGAGAATGAAACAATGCCATTATTTATGAAATATGATAAAATTCTACATGAATTGTTTGAAATCAAATGTAGTTCAGTGAATTATTGGTAATTTTTTAACATTGCTAATCTCAAAAACACAGGAAATGTAGAACATAATATTTAAAGAAAATAATATTTTACTACTTTTTACCAGGGCTTCCTATTTGTAAGTTTTATTTTTCACGTAATACTTAATATTTTTAACTTAAACATTCACGTAATGCTGATTGCTACTGGAACTTATAAACATACATACCATTGCACGTACGAAATTCATATCACACGTACAGTAAATATAACTCTCAAATTAGCAAATCGTTATGATTCATTTTTCTCGACTTTGCTCGCGTATATCTCTGTGCACACAGCTGCAGCTTCACATAAATAGCACGAGATATCAGTAAAATCTTCTTTGAAAAAAATATTTGTACCTTATAGATATGTGTATATTTGTACTGAGTTCACTCCGAAAACCTTTTATAAATAATTGTATACTTTCATCCTCTCTTCTTTCTGTTTTCTTCCATGAATAAATAATTTCAATATTCGCAATCTTTATTATATATATTGGAATTGTTAATTCAAATAACTGAAAAGAAACGTGTTTATCGTCTTTAATTCATGAAACAGTAGCAGTACAGAAACTATTATAAACCAAGCATTTTCTTTAGTCATTTTGCCTGAATTTGAATCTTCCACCTGACAGCAAAATACACATCAATATTAACAAAAACAAAATATTACGTTCAAATCTATTCTATGATAATTTTGTAAATTTTTCTTCTTTGTTTATCAGTATTAAAACAATCACCATAGAGTTTTTCTTTTTTTATTTCGATATAATTTTTATTCACTGCTCGGATCAGAGTTTGGTTCAAAAGCAAATCAATGTTTCATTATATGCTAGTCATTAAAAATTGTTTCCATTAATTGCAGGATACGGAAGCTACAAAGATATTTCTTTCTTTCTTTAATTATTACAAAATAGTTGATAGTAATGCAACAATATTATTAAATTCTTTAAAAATTTCTACTGCTTTGTATTCGATGTACTAATTCTTGTAATAAATGCATAAAGTCCATAATCTATAAATTATTTTAAAAATATATCTGCTAATTGTGAGCATGTAACTTTTAATTCGTGTGAAAATACGCGATCTGCTTGTTAAGAAATTCTCGCAGAATGCGTTTTCGGATCGCAGGATATTCGGATTGCTCTGACGCGACAATGCTTCAACAGTATTCATGGTTGCAGCTTAATCGTAAAGTGCTTAACTCGAGCGTACTGACGCGTGTCTGGTAGACGATTATGTGGTAGTTATTATCATACAAGAAGCCCACGTATAAGATGGCATTCCCACTGCAACATAGTCTTGTTCTAACATGGTTAAAGAATTATTAAATAAAAATAAATCTAATCTTGTCATTATTATAAGAAAATACATAACTTATGTTATGTAATGTTAAGTATTAAACGTTTTATTGTTCTAAATGTTACTAACTCATTGCCTCCAAAAATGAGAACGAGATTCCTTAAAGGTAGGACTAAAAATCGAGAAGCTGCAGAAGACAATTCTAGAAATGAAAATAGTATATTTCAGAAATACCTAAAGGTCATTTCATGGTTTTATAAATTTTTATTATACTACGTACACTTATAATTAGATAAAACGTAAGCACATCTTTCTATCACAGTAAAATAATCATATAAATATTTTATATGTATTTTAAATCGGTCACATTATCTAGATAATCAATATCCAGCATTGTTAATTAAGAAGACTGATTTTATGAATACGATAAACATTTGTTTTCTTTTCGTCTATTTATCATCCTTTGTATTACCTAACATATTTAGAAAAATCTTTACGGGATGGAATGATCGCAATAATGAGTACAAGGTACACGTATAGTTGCAATATTTATTCAATATTTATAAAAGTAATATATATAAAATAATTGAACAAAATTTATTTTGTAGGGAAATCGAGTTTGAGTAGCACAGTATTCAATAATCTCTACAAGTAGCACCACTTCTTAGGAACGCACAGTCCCCACTTATTATGTCTCACCAAACCTTCTTTGCATTGGCAGCCTTGAACGCATTGCTGAAATGAAAATGCAAGCATTGCAAATTAGTCTTCGTAGAGTAATTGTTATCTTCTCATTTTGAAAATCAGAATTGGTTTTAAGTACTAACCAGTGTGCAAGGTCTAGGTTCAGGATTATCGCAAGTTAATGGGCAGGCAGTTCCACAGTCGTTCCACTCTTCATTGAACGGACAAATTCGGTGTCCATTCGCTGTTCAATATGGTCAACAGTTTATTAAAGCTGCTGCAGTATTTTTACAAAATTGTTGGCGATAATATCTAAGTTCAGCCGGTGGACACAATAACATGTGCAGGTACATGCAAACGACTGTCCATGAGAATTGGGACACTTACAAAGGATAAAATGAACTCAATTCATTCTAATCCTCGTACGCTTCATGGATAAAAATTTACCAACGTTATGTTTCAGATACTGTAAAATGTTGTATTTCTCTGCAATTTTATTATAATTTGACGTGTTTAATGGATTGAACGAAAGTGTAAGACGAAACTGAATGAATAATAATCAATCCCATTTTGTGCAACTATTTCTGATCAAATCTATTTTAAATGTATTAAAATTTCGTATTTCTCTACGATTGTTTGATACGTTTTTTTATAATATTAGTTGACAAATAAGACATAATTGATTCTTTCGCGCCACTAGTTTTAGAAAGTGTATGAAGATTAACAAATAAATTTATGTTTAAAAATTGATGTTTAGCACGTTGCTTAGTATAGTTTGTACTAGATTATTAGTTTGTGTGCTCATTACCAAAAAATAAATCTTCAAATCCATACTTTACAAATTGTCAGATATAAAGATAATCGTAAGACAATCGTAACTACTTAAAACCTAATTTAAGAAAAATCAAATCCAACAGTCTTAAAGGATTTATGTAACAATTTCAGTTTTGAGTGAAAACAATAGTTTCTGATACAGCTCTACCAAAGATCAACAAGTGGTTCTGTCGCAGTCGATGGTGTATACCTGCTGCGTTACAAAGTCACTGTTTTAATCAATCGTAGGATAATGGTGCCAGTTATTGTGGGGTAACCAATTGCTGTAACTTTGATCTGTTTTCAGGCATAATTAATTCTACATTTATAGAATAAGACATACTAAATATTTTTATTAAAAACTGAACAAAATAAGAGAATAAAAGATTAAACAATTTATTCAAAAATTAAAAAAAAATAAAAGAATAGATGAAGAAAAATTTGTACAAAAGCAAAATAAAAGAATAAAAAATTTGATATGTTCTATTCTAGATAAATATAAAGTTAATTATGCCTAAAAAGAAACCGAAGGCACAGTAATTGGTCACCACGTATTAATTGACTCCGCTACCCTAGCATATTGAAAAGTGATGTAAGCAAAACGAACTAACCTACGGGAATTCATTAGGCTACAGACGCTGAAAATTGCTGTCAAAACATGGTTTTTAAATAGACCCAAGTGCGAGCGTTTCGTACATTTTTATACACAGAATACTGCAAAATCAGCATAGACTGCATAATATCGATTAAGTATCTTTTATTATAGAATATATCTTTCCTGTAACCAAATCGTGCATTTTTATATGCTTCAATTAAGAAGAATTTATTTTATATCCTAATACTTATGGACTCGAGTGTGCACACGTTACTTTAAAATTGGAATTACTACGAAGACAACATGAATGTATTAAATTATTTAACAATGTCCACACCTGCCAAATGATCGAACAGTATCTAATAACATATTCGTTAAATTTCGTACTTACTGATAGATATTACAACAAATGCCGCCAACAAAAGAATAATGAAACGAGCCATCTTAGTCGTGTAGTTTTTCGTGAAATGCTTCAGAAATGAAAGTTACAGCAAGAAACACATTTTATATTCCGTGAAAATTCCATCGTCTATAGATCTGACTTTACAAACGCAAACAATAGCGACAATGACTAACTCGATAAGAAATGTAAAAACATTTTCTGATAAGTGGAATCTGAATCTTTACGTATATAAGATATGCAAACAACACATGAATTTATGCATGAAGCAATATGTATAGGTTCACGGGAATGGAAAATTGTCGGTATAAATGAAATTATAGAAGTTTATAACATATATAATTCAAAATTATACATAAAATAATCAATTTTAGAATTACGTATCAATTTATGGTGAAAATTAAATAGAAAGTGTGAAATTATGTAAAAAAATTAGAATTAAATTTACTTATAAATGTATAATAAATTTTAGAATTATGTATTTATACAAAAAAAATTAAGTATAAAATATGTTCCATAAAAGTATATCGCACGTAACATTGTCTGAGCTAAGACAAAGTGATCTTAATAATGTTCTAAGTAACACTTTACTCTATTTTACTGAAACGGTGTTAATGCTTATCAGTTAATATTACCTTCAGTTAAAAACGA